AATCCCAGCAGCAGCAGCACCAGCAATCCCAGCAGCAGCACCAGTAATCCCGGCAGCAGCAGCACCAGTAATCCCAGCAGCAGCACCAGTAATCCCGGCAGCAGCAGCACCAGTAATCCCAGCAGCAGCACCAGTAATCCCAGAAGCAGCAGCACCTGAAATCCCAGCAGCAGCAGCACCAGTAATCCTAGCAGCAGCAGCACCAGTAATCCTAGCAGCAGCAGCACCAGCAATCCTAACAGCAGCAGCACCAGCAATCCTAACAGCACCAGCAATCCTAGCAGCAGCAGCACCAGCAATCCTAACAGCAGCAGCAGCAGCAATCCTAGCTGCTGAGTTCCAATTGTCTCGCACTTGAAATTGTGTCTGCAGTGCATTTGTTTGTTTCATTGTTGTCGAAAAAGAATGAAAATGGCTTCTGATTTGCTGCTGCTGCTGCTGCAGCAGCAGCAGCAGCAGCAGCAGCAAACGGGCGAAACAGCTGCTGCAGTGAACAGTGCGGAGAAGAAAGACTGGGCTCTAGAAAGAGCCTCAAGTTTTCTTTTCCGAAAAGTTTAAATGAAAAGACTTTTGAAATAAAAGCAGCAAAAGAAAAACGAATTCGAAAAAGGAAATGCAGCGCAGCAGCTGCTGCTGCTGCTGCAGTGCGCACTCGGACTGAGACTTGCAAAGTTGAAAATTTCGAAATGAATTTATTTTTTAATTCCCCAAAATTAAAAAATAAATTCATTTTGCAATTGTTCTGCATGCATGCTCCACAAAAACGGGACATCTTGTGCAACAAAAACCATTTTTGGAGAGGAAATGTGGAAACCCGCGCATGCATTTCGCAGTTGTGCAATACAGCTGCTGCTGCTGCTGCTGCTGCTGCTGCTGCTGTTGCTGCTGCTGCAGCGAGAGGTACACACACTGCGGACTGGATTGTTTACAAGTTTGCTTCATGCATGCATCACAAAAATGCCATTTGTGAGTTTGGCTGAAGAGCTCATTTGCTGCAGCTGCTGCGCAGCAGCAGGCTGCAGCCTGCTGCTGCGCTGCACTGCAGCAAAAGAGAATTATGAAAACGCCAATTAATTAATTTTGCTGCTCCACTGCAAGCAGCAGCAGCCAAGGCACATTAATGGACTCAGTGAAATTAACTGACTTCTTTTGCAATTCCATTTATTCCATCATTAGCGCTGAAGCTGCCAAAAACGAACAAATATCAACACAAGGCAGCAGCAGCAGCAGCAGCAGCAGCAGCAGCAGCAGCAGCAGCAGCAGCAGCAGCAGCAGCAGCAGCAAGCAGCAGCAGCAGCAGCAGCAGCAGCAGCAGCAGCAGCAGCAGCAGCAGCAGCAGCAGCAGCAGCAGCAAGTACAAACAAGACATTGCGCAGCGCGGCTTTCCCTGCCAAGTCTAACTGGAAAACATCTACAACTGAAGCAGCAAGAATAATAAACACTTTTAAAATAAGTTTAAATAAATATAAATGCATTTCATAAGTTTAAATAAATATAAATGCATTTCACAAGTTTAAATAAATATAAATGCATTTCAAATACGAAACTCAAACACTCAACTCAATTCCACTTTCACGCAAACATGAATTGTGCCTCTCCGTCTTCCGTTTGGCTGCGAGCAGGAAGATCTGCTGCTGCTGCTGCTGCTGCTGCTGCTGCTGCTGCTGCATTTCCCTTGCTTTGGCCTCCACTGCAGGAGCTGCTGCTGAGCTCTGCAGCTTTGCTGCTGCAGTTCCATTCCTGAAAGCCCTGGACTTAAGGCTGCTTCTGCGGGCTTCTTCTTTGCTGCTGACGCTTTGCTGCCCCTTAAAAGTGTTAATCCATTGTTGAATTCCCAGTTCTGCTGCTCCGCGAACTGCTGCAGCTGCCGCTGCTGCTGCTGCTGCTGCTGCTGCTGCTGCTGCAGCTTCGCCTGCGGCCGCGGCAAGTGCGGGTCACTTTCCCGCACTTCCGCCGCCGACCTCCGGGCCAGCTGACCTGCATCCCGGCGCTCCCAGCGCAGCAGCAGCAGCAGTTGCTGCTGCTGCTGCTACAGCTGCTGCTGCAGCAGCAGCAGCAGCTGCAGCAGCAGCTGCAGCTGCAGCAGCAGCTGTAGCAGCAGCTGCAGCAGCAGCTGTAGCAGCAGCTGCAGCAGCAGCTGCAGCAGCAGCTGCAGCAGCAGCTGCAGCTGCAGCTGTAGCAGCAGCTGCAGCAGCAGCTGCAGCAGCAGCTGTAGCAGCAGCTGCAGCAGCAGCTGCAGCAGCAGCAGCAGCAGCAGCACTAGGCTGGGGAGAGGTTCTTGAGAGCTGGGCAGATGAACTGTTCAATAATATCTTTTTGCAAGTTTTCATTTCCAGGCTCTTTTGTGAGCATGTGGGAGAAGCCCCTCAGCAGCCAGAGCTGCAGGCTGCCGTCACGGCTGGAGCTGACAATCTTGGATTCCTGCTGCTGCTGCTGCTGCTGCTGCTGCTGCTGCTGCTGCTGGCGGGCGCAGCGCAGCAAACTGAGCCGCGAGCCCTGCTGCGCTGCGCTCTGCTGCCAGCCTCTCGCAAGCTTTGGAAGCAAGTCTGTCTAAAGTGCTGGCCCTTTCAAGAGTTTGATTTGCACTTTTAATTGCTGCGAGAGCTGAGGCGATTTGGTTTGCTGCTGCTTCGCTGCCTTCTGCTGCTGCTGCTGCTGCCTCTTTTGCTGCTGCTTCGCTGGCCTGCAGCTCCGCGCTCGCCTGCTGCTCCAGCTGCGAAGCAGCACGAGACAAGAACTCCGCTTCGAAGGCTGCGTCAGGCCTCTCGAACTCGTCTTCCTGCTGCTGCTGCTGCTGCTGCTGCTGCTCGCCGTCCTCAGCAGCAGCAGCAGCAGCAGCAGCAGCAGCAGCGCGCTGCTGCTGCAGCTCCCGCTGCCGCTCCTCCCGCCGCAGCGAAGCCCACGGCTGCGGCAGCCGCGCACGGCCCCCCAACTTTTCGAAAAAACGCACAAGTCCCATTGGCTGCAAAATGTTATCATCGAGGGACTGAATGGCCAAAACGGACAAGTAGCTGCCTTCTGCTGCTGCTGCTGCTGCTGCTGCTGCTGCTGGTGCTGCTGCTGCTGCTGCTGCTGCTGGTGCTGCTGCTGCTGCTGCTGCTGCTGGTGCTGCTGCTGCTTCTCCAGACGCCGCCGCTGCTGCGTCCTTCTCCGCAGGCGCGCTCTCCCCCTGCTGCTCCCCCTGCTGCTGCTGCTGCTGCTGCTCCCCCGCCTGCTGCTGCTGCTGCTGCTGCTGCTGCTGCCTGCCGTGCAGCAGCTTGACCCAGTCGCTGAGGCTGAAGGGCTGGCGGGCGTCTCTGAGAATGGGCCTGCGGAGCCAGTGGGCATCAGCTTCTGCTGCTGCTGCTGCTTGGGAAATCTCAAGAGCCAAGTTGATGCGGCAGCAGCCTTTGAAAGTGCCTTTGTCTTTATTGAACAAGTTTTGAACTTCTGGTTTGCTGCTGCCAGCAGGGGGCGGCAGCAGCGGGCAGTGGGGGGCCCAGGTCTTCAGGGTCTGCAGCAGCGGCTGCAGCAGCTGCTGCAGCAAGCTGCTGCAGCCCTGCTGCTGCTGCGGCGCCTCCAGCAGCGGCGACAGCAGCACCAGCCCCGCCAGCGGCACTGGCTTTTGCTGCACCACTCGGTGGCTCGCCCCCATTGCAGCAGCAGCAGCAGCAGCAGCGCTCACTGCAGCAGCAGCAGCAGGAGCAGCAGCAGCAGCTTCCTCCTCCGCGCTGGCCCCGCTCTCCGGCCGCACCCGGCAGCTCTCCAAACGGGCAACGCCCCCGCCAGCAGCAGCAGCAGCAGCAGCTGCTGCTGCTGCTGCTGCTGCTGCTGCGGGCTCCCCCTTGGAGTCCATAGAGCCGCGTTGGGAACTCGCAGTGGAGGCTGTTGTTGCATCCGCCGTCCCGTGCTGCTGCTGCTGCTGCTGCTGCTGCTGCTGCTGCTGCTGCTGCTGTTCCTCATGATCCTCTTCCGCCTCTTTCGGCTGCTTCTTCCCCCCTAGCTGCTTCTTCGCTGGCTGCTTCTTTCCTTGCTGCACCTTGCCTTGCTGCTGCTGCTGCTGCTGCTGCTGCTGCTGCTGCTGCTTCTGCTGCGCCTCCTCCTGCTGCGCCTCCTCCTGCTGCGCCTCCTCCTGCTGCGCCTCCTGCTGCTGCTGCGCCTCGCCCTGCTGCGCCTCCTGCTGCTGCTGCTGCTGCGCCTCTCCCTGCTGCTGCTGCTGCTGCTGCTGCTGCTGCTGCGGCGCGGGGCGGCCGAGAAGGCCGTGTTTGGCGAGGAGCTGCGCAGCACGAAGAGCAGCAGCAGCGCCGAGTCCAGAGCCCAGCAAGAAGATGGGGAGGGGCCCCTCGTTGGCGAGGGACAGCAGCAAAGTTTGGAGATCAGCAGCAAAGTCTTCGAAGACTTCCACTTGGCAGCTGAGGGCCCCCCAGCCGTGGGAGGCCCCGTGGCTCTGCAGGTCCACGCCCACGACCCGCCAGCCCTGCAGCAGGAACCGCTGCACCCACGAGCCCGCGAACCGGGGCCCCCCCCCGCTGCTGCTGCTGCTGCTGCTGCTGCTGCTGCTGCTGCTGCTGCTGCTGCTGCTGCTGCTGCTGCTGCGCGGCAGCAGCAAGCACCCCGCGCTCTCCCGCTCCTCATCTTCGAAACTCGGAAACGCTCTTTGCTTCAAAATCTCTTCGCTCGCTGCCGCAGGCACCACCACGGACCCGGGGGGGGCCCCCACCAGCCGCAGGGGGCCCCCGGGGGGCCCCCCGGGGGGCCCCCCGGGGGGGCCCTCGGGGGCGCCCTCGGGGGGGCCCTCGGGGGCCCCCGCTGTGGAGGCCTGCGAACGCGGGGGCCCCTCGGGGGCCCCCTGCTGCAGCGAAGAAGCGCGGCTGAAGGAAAAGCCGGAAAGGGCCTGGGAAAGCTGCGGAGAGATACTTGCTGCTGCTGCTGCTGCTGCTGCTGCTTTGTCTTCGTCCAGCAGCAAACTTGCTGCGCGGGAGGGGGGGCCCACAGTGGGCCTGCAGCAGTTCCAAGAGGACTTCACCTCCTCGTGGGGCCCCTGCTGCTGCTGCTGCTGCTGCTGCTGCTGCGACGCAGGGGTCAGCGCGCCGGAAGCCAGCGGCTCCTCCTCCTCCTCAGCAGCAGCAGCAGCAGCAGCAGCAGCAGCAGCAGCAGCTTCGGAGCTGGCGTCCTCCGCTGCGGCGGCAGCTGCTTCGGCGCCGCCGTCCTTCGCTGCAGCAGCAGCGTCTCCGGCCGGCTCGCCGGCGGCGTCCCCCGCCGCCGCAGCAGCAGCAGCAGCAGCAGCAGCAGCAGCAGCAGCAGGAGGCTCGGACTGCAGCCACTCGAACATGCAGTGGGCCCCGTAGCCATGGACCAAAACCACCACTGCTGTGGGGTTTGGGAGGTCCCAACTGTAGCAGCAAATCGGCAGCCCTTTGCTGCTGATGAAGAGCCAGGGGCGGGGGCCCCCCAGCTGGCTGAGGGGCGCAGCAAGCTGCGGCAGTTCGAAGGGAGGGTACAGCCCCGAGGGGCCCCTCTGGAGGGGCCCCCCGCGGGCGGGGGGGGCGCAGGCCATTGGGGGCCCCCGGGGCGGGCTGGGGGCCCTGGGCCCTGGGCTTCGCCGGCTGCTGCTGCTGCGCTGCAGCAGCAAGCTGCAGCAGCTGCAGCAGCTGCAGCAAGGGGCAGGAAGCAGGGCTGCGCGGACTTCTGCAGACCTGCAGAAGCAGCAAAGGAAAACTCTGGAGAATTAGCAGCAAAGAAATGGCAGCAGCAACGGAGTCTGCTGCGCTGCTGCGCGCCGCTATGTGCGGCGAGAGCCAGAACCTCTCGGGGTGTACGTACACCGCAGCTGCTGCTGCTGCTGCTGCTGCTGCTGCTGCTGCTGCTGCTGAAGCACTGCAGCAGGAAATGCGCCTTTGTGCTGAAGGCCTGGGCGCTCGAGCCGCCTCAGACAACTGAGGTGTACGTACACCGCAGAGGCGCCGCTGCCCAGATCACCCCGGAAAGGCTGGCTAGCCAAGAGGAGCGGAGAAGACTCGAAGCTCGGGTCTAAATCGGGGAATTAAGGGAAAATTTGATGCAAAAGGCACAAAAACGGAAACAAAAATGGCAAACAAAAGCCGAAAAAGTGCGCGAAGACAGGCGGAACCCGCAGGTGTACGTACACCCTGTGGGGTGTATGCGGACCTCGAGGTGCGCGCGCCGGCCCGCGGCTCGCGACTGTCTGTCGAGCTCTTTTTTGCGTCACTTTTTCCGCATTTCGATTTTAAATTTAAATTTAAACTCAAATTAAACTTCAATTCATTGAAGTTTTCTCCGTTTGTCTCAAAGCGAGCCTTTCTCGCGGCGCGGAGCCGGAGGTCCTCCGCGCACACCACCGGACGGACCACAGCGCCGCGCGCGGATCCCGGGGAGAAGCGCGGAAAAAACAAAGTATTGCTTTTTATTTTATTATAAATGAGAAATAATACCATTTATTTATTTCTTTGTTCATTTGTTTATTTGTTTAATCGACTTGAGCGCCCGAAACTCCCCCGAGAGCTCCTTAGAGCCAGTCCGGACGGCGCGCAGCCGGACAGCCGCCCGCGCGCTGCAGCCCCGCGGCGCGGACTCAGCCGCAAAAACAAATAAATAAAAAACAAATTATAAATTAAAAAGTTATTTTCAAACAAATTCGTGTCTAAACGCCGGCCAGGCTGCTGCAGCGGCTCGCGCGGCCGCGCGCGCAGGTGACCGCGCGCGCACACAGGGCTGCGGTGTACGTACACCTCAACGCAGCAGCAGCAGCAGCAGCAGCAGCAGCAGCTTCACGGCGCCGCTGCTGCTGCTGCTGACGGGTAGGGGCGGCTGGGGTCCCAGGACTCGCCAGTGTCTTCGCTTTCTGGCTCCGAAAGGGCCCCCTGGGGGCCCCCAGCAGCTGAAAAGGGGGACAGGGGGCCCCCCTGGGGCCCCCAGGGGGCCCCCCGGGGGCCCCCAGCAGCTGAAAAAGGGCACTGGGGGCCCCCCTGGGGGCCCCCCTGGGGCCCCGGGCAGCAGGGAGGGTACAGAGTGTTTCCGGGGCCCATTACGGGCCCCCTGCCGCAGTACAAAAGTGCACAGAAGCGCTTCTCTGGCCCGCAAGCCTCTCCCACCTCTCTTGCTGCTGCTGCTGCTGCTGCTGCTGCTGCTGCTGCTGCTGCTGCTGCTGTGTCTTCAAAGTGCTGCGCTGTGTCTTTGTCGTTTCTGCTGCAGCTCTTTCCCTTTGCTTTGCTTCCTGCCTTCCCATCAGCATCCAGTCTAGTCCTCCCCTGCTGCTGCTGCTGCTTATTCTGCTGCTGCCGCCTGTTATTCTGCTTCTGCTGCTGCTGCTGCTGCTGCTGCTGCTGCTGGGGGCTTAGAAGCCGTTGGGGAGTGCGCCCGCAGCAGCGCGCAGCAGCAAGATCGTGGAGGCCGGCGAGGGGCATGCGGAGGCTTTTGCTGCGGAGTTTGCTGCTGCTTTGCTGCTGATTTGCTGCTGCTTTGCTGCTGCTTTGCTGCTGCTTTGCTGCTGCTTTGCTGCTGCTTTGCTGCTGCTTTGCTGCTGCAAAAGAAATCGAGAAGCTTCTTGTGCTGCAGCTGCTGCTGCTTCGCAGCCGCCCCACAAGCCGCAGACACGGGGCTCCGGCTGTGTCTCGCAGCCGGAGGACTTCGACCTGCTGCTGCTGCTGTTGCTGCTGCTGCTGTTGCTGCTGCTGCTGCTGCTTCTGCTGCTGCTGCTTCTGCTGCTGCTGCTTGGAGAAAGCCTTCGGGCTGCAGCTTCCTCCAGCTGCTTCAAATGAAGACTCTCCCGCTGCAGGGCCCCCAGCTGCTGCGCAAACCACGGCGGCGAGGCCTCGTGCGCGTGCGGCCAGGAGGCATTCTGCTGCTGCTGCTGCTGCTGCTGCTGCTGTTGCTGCTGCTGCTGCTGCTGCTGCTGCTGCTAGGCAGCATGCACGTGGGCCTGGAGGCAGCTGTCCGGCGTGCTGCGAGGCGGCGAGCGGGGGGCAAAGGCTCTGGGGGGTTGGGGCTGCTGCAGCGGCGAGCTGCGGAGGGCGGCGGGCTCTGAAAAGCGAATAAAAGAGTTTTAAAAACAAAAAACAAAATTAATTAATTCATTTGGAAAAGAAGGAGGCCTGGGAAGCGCAGAGGAAGAAGCCGGGCTGCAGAGGAGGGAGGCGCTGGCCGGTCTTCTGCGATAGCTGCTGCGAACAAAGACAAAACGAGCGCCAGATGTTCTCAAACTTCCCTTAAATCGACAAATAATCATTTTAAATCCATAAAAGTGAAGTTTTAAACCTCGAAATTCAAGTTTAAGCCCCGGATCGCCTGGGTTTCGGCCGCGCACCTAAGTGGCTGCCGCCACGGAAACCGACTCGACGGCCAGCGGCAGTGGTGGCCCACCTCGAAAGAAATGACCCATTTTAACTCTAAAGAGTTTCTGCTGCGTTTAAAATTCAAAAAAAGATTATTTGAATTCCTTTTGTTCAGCTTTCTTTTTGAAAAGGGGGCGTCTGCGGCGGCGCGGGCGTGGCAGCTGGTCGGGTGTATGCGCAGCTCCGGCTCGATGCACAGCGCGGAAACACCCGAAAAAGCGAAAGATCTTTGCAAAGAACAATTCTAAAATGCAGAAAACTTGAAAAGTAATTAAACTGAAGTCTCTGTAGGGGAAGATCGCGCAGACAAGCGCTCAGTTTTCAAGTTTCTGCTTTCCTTTTTCATGCATGTCCGCGCTTGCGGGTATCATTTGTAGCGGGTTTTATTCCACTTTTCGCTTCCAAGTTCAGCTTTCTAGGCATTTCAAAGAGAAAGAAACTCAGAAAGAAGAAAAAAAGAAGATTAGATAGAAGACTGCAGCGCAGAAGTTCGTTTTTGCAAAACCCGCAACTGCACAGATGCTGCATTTTGCTGCAGGACTTTTGCCCCTTTTGCTTCTCGAGAAATCCTTTGAGAGACACAAAAGCTGAGCTGCTGCAGCTGCTAAAGCCAGCAGCAAAAGGACAAACAAATTACAAAAACAAACAAATCTTTTTCTGTTCACTTCATCAATTTAGTTGGCCACAAGAAGTGTCTATGTTTTCAAGTGTCTGTACACCAGCAAACTTTCATTGTAGAGTTTCTCCTCTGCCTTTATTTCCAGCTTTCTGGAAATAAAAGCGCAAAAGACAGCCCAAATTAGCCGCTGCAGCAGCAGCTGCAGCAGCAGCTGCAGCAGCTGCTGCAGCAACACGAGGAGCTGCAGCAGCTGCTGCCAGCAGTTCCTGACTGTGCGCTGCAGGGCGGAACCCAGCAGGAGCAGCAGCAGCAGGAGCAGCAGCAGCTCTACAAAGACCTCGAGCCTGTTGAGGAGTTTTGATTTGCCTTGGCCTGCAGCCGTTGCTGCTGCAGCAGCAGCTGCGCAGCAAGTTTAGCGCAAAACCGACTAAAAACAAATTTGTCTGGAACAAAAAAATGAAAAGATATTTTTTGCTTTTATTAATTTTGCAAAATAGAGGAAACAAATGAGCAAAAAATACCGCCAGAAACGCACCTCAGTGCCGCCAACGAGGGTTTAGGGTTTAGGGTTTAGGGTTTAGGGTCTGGGGGCGGCAGCAGGGAGGCAGTGACAATCTCCCTCACGCCCTCCGAAAGCCCCGGCTCTGCTGCTATCCGCTGCAGCTGCTGCTGCAGCAGCTGCTGCCGGACTTGCCCGTGGCTTTTGCTGCTGCTCAGCAGAGCAGCAAGTGCTGCAGCAAGAGGGGGGTTGAAGGGGTCCAGCTGCAGCAGCAGCAGCAAGCAGCAGCAGCAAGCAGCAGCAGCAGCAGCAGCAACAAAGCAAAATAGTTTTCTTTTTCTTTCTTTTAATGAAACAAAACCCTAAAAGGGCGGAAATCAAGCAGCGCCTTTCTACGGCTTAAAAAGCCGGACAACACAGCCACTCTAAGAACTCAAAACCGAGGGTTTAGGGTTTAGGGTTTAGGGTTTAGGGTTTCGGGCCTCCAGCCGGCGCCGCGCCTGATCCGTGCTGCAGCTCCAGACTTTGCTCCCGAAGCCCCCAACGGGCGCCCTGCCTGCCCAGAATTCAGGGTTTAGGGTTTAGGGTTTGGAGATTAGGGTTTAGGGTTTGGAGGTTAGGGTTTAGGGTTTAGGGTTTGGCGCGCACGGTGAGTATGGCGTCTGCGAAGAGGCTGTAGCCCCCGCCGTCTTCTGCGTGGAAGTGGATTTGGTTTTGCTGCCAAAAAGAAAAGAAAAGACATTCCACTCTTTTAGGGTTTTCGAAAGAAAAGCTTGGGTGCTGCAGCAGCAGCAGCACGCGCTGCAGCTGCTGCGGCAGGTCTGCTGCTGCCTGCAGCGCGAACCACTGGTCCACTGCAGCGGGGTTCCCTGCAGCAAACCACCAGCAGCAACTCCCGAACTGCAGCAGCAGCAAACTGCTGCTGCGCTGCTGCTGCCGACACAGCAGCAGCAATTCGAGCAGCAGCAAAGCGCTGCTGCTGCAGCTGCTCTGCTGCTGCTCTGTTGCTGCTACAGCTGCTCTGTTGCTGCTACAGCTGCTCTGTTGCTGCTGCAGTTGCTGTGTTGCTGCTACGGCTGCTCCGTTTTGCTGCTGCGCTACTGCTGCTGCTGCTCTGTTGCTGCTACAGCTGCTCTGCTGCTCTGCTGCTGCTGCTGCTGCTGCTGCTGCTGCGTGTCTCACCGTCTGCCTGGGCGAAGAAGGCAGCAAAAGCTGCTTCGCGTTCGGGCTGCTGCATGTTGGCGAGAGCAGCAAGTGCTGCTGCTTTATCAGTCAAGCATTTTGCTGCTGCGAAGTGGCTGTAGGCCAGCTTTGCTGCTTCCCGGTCTGCTGCTGCAGCAAGCAGCAGCAGCAGCTCGTTGCGCAGCAGCCGGCGGCCAGTTTGCTGCTGGCTGCAGTCCCCTGTGGGGCTTTCCAGGTGTCTGTACAGCTGCAGCAGTTCCTGCTGCAGCGCAGCAGCAAGCTCTGCTGCTGCTGCCCGCCGCGCCTGCTGCAGCAGCAAAAGGTCCACTGGTCTTTTTGTCTTTGCCAATTCTCGCAAGTCCGGCAGCCGCAAAATCAAAGCCTGAGCAGCACAGCAGCAGCAAAACAAACTTCCAAAGGCCCTGCTGCTGCAGGCAGCAAGTTCCGCTTTGCTGCTGCTGCCAGCAGACTCCACTTTGCTGCTGCAGGCAGCAAATTCCGCTTTGCTGCTGCTGCCAGCAGACTCCACTTTGCTGCTGCAGGCAGCAGACCCGCTGCTGCTGCTGCAGGCAGCAGCCCCGCTCTTGTTGCTGCAGCTGCTGCATGGCCGCAGCAGCAGCAGCAGCAGCAGCAGCGGCAAAAAGCTTGGCGAGTATCTCGAAAAAGGCCTTTGCTGCTGCTGCTCAACTCAAAACTTTGCTGCTCACTTTCACAGTTTCATCTAATCCAGGATCTAAAATAATCTTCTTTATTGTTTCCGCAAAAAGTTCTTCCAGATTTGACACTTCGTTGCTGCTGCCAGGGGCCCCCTGCGGCGCGTTGGGGGCCCCCTGGGGGCCCCTCTGGGGGCCCCCCTGGGGGGCCCTGGGGGGGCCCCTTTGGGAGGACCTGTAGGGGCCCCTTTGGGAGACCCTTCGGGGGGCCCCCTGGGGGGCGTTGGGGGCCCCCTGGGGGCCCCTTTCGGGGGGCCCCTGGGGGGCCCCCTGGGAGCTGGCGGGGGCCCCCTGGGGGCCCGTCTGGGGCGCGTCGGGGGCCCCCTGAGGGTCCGTTTTTGGGACCCTTTGGCGGGCCTTGTGGGTAATAACAGCAGCAGCAAGTTTGTGTGCTGCTGCCCATTTGTTGAAAGGGTCTGAGTCATGAGCAGCAAGAAAAGCCAGGCTTTGGGGCGGCAGCAAAAAGGAAAAAAGAACTGGAGAAGAGAAGTTTCGAAACAAAGAAGGAATGCAGTCTTCGTAGACTTCGGTGAAACGCACTGTTTCCTCTTGCCGGGTCATCAGGAACAGCTGCAGCAGCAGCAGCAGCAGCAGCAGCAGCAGCGGTGCAGCAGCAGCAGCGGCGCAGCAGCAGCAGCAGCAGGCACACAACAAACAGCAGAATAATGCGCCCCGCAGCACGCTGCTGCAAGCCCGCAGCAGCTGCACGCCGCAGCGACCCGCAGCAGCAGCAGCAGCAGCAGCAGCAGCAGCAGCAGCAGCAGCAGCAGGGCCTCACGTGGGTGGGGGGATCGAGGATGTCCGTTCGGCTCTTCTTGCCGATTAGCCCGATGGCCACGGGAATCAAAAGGGGCCCCGAAGACTGGGGGGCCCCCCCAGAGCTGGGGGCCCCCCAAGAGCTGGGGGCCCCCCAAGAGCTGGGGGCCCCCCAAGAGCTGGGGGCCCCCCAAGAGCTGGGGGCCCCCGAAGTGGTGGGGTTGTTGTGTTGGGCCAAAGTGATGGAGAAGGTGCGCATTATGGGGTCATAGTTTGTCCGCACCACCCGCACTCGCGGGGCTCCCCGCTGCAGCAAACCCTAAACCCTAAACCCTAAACCCTAAACCCTAAACCCTAGACCATCCCAGCGGACACATGCCGGCACAAATCCACGCAACTGACAGACCCAAGCCCCAAATAGCGACCGCGCCCAGGGGGCCTCTGGGGCCTTTCCTGGGGCCTCCTGGGGGCCCCCTTGGGGGCCCCCGAAGGGCCCCCGGGGGGCCCCTGGGGGGCCCCTGGGTGCCCCGAAGGATCCCCTGGGAGCCCCCTGGGGCCTCCTGGGGGCCCCCTTGGGGGCCCCTGGGGGCCCCTGGGGGCCCCCTGGGGCCCCCCTGGGGGCCCCTGGGGGCCCCTTTTGCTGACCTGTTTGAGCCAGCGGTGGAGCTGGGAAAGGTCTGCGGCGTTTGCTTCCTCCATGGCAGTTCGGAAGTCTTCAGAAGTGGCGGAGGCCCCGTCGTGGCGCAAAAGGAAAAGATCTAAGCCTTTGCGGAAGCCGGGGGCCCCCAGAATGGTCCAGTACCTGCAGCAGCAGCAGCAGCAGCAGCAGCAGCAGCAGCAGCAGCAGCAGCGGGATCAGGGGCCGTCCGCAGCAACTTGAAGTGCGGGGGCTCTTTAGGCGCGTTCGAAGTCTTTTCTCCCTTCTGCTTTTGCTGCTGTTCGTGCTGCCGCAGCAGCAGCAAACGCAGCAGCGAAAGGAGCAGCAGCAGCAGCACCCAATTTGCTGCTGAGCAGCTGCTGCTTGAAAGCTGCCAGCCCCTCCTTCAGCCACACCTCCGACCAGTCCCTGCAGCAGCAGCAGCAGCAGCAGCAGGGGGGCTTGAGCTGCAGCAGCAGCAGCAGGGGGGCTTGAGCTGCTGCAGCAGCAGCAGCAGCAGCAGGGGGGCTTGAGCTGCAGCAGCAGCAGGGGGGCTTGAGCTGCAGCAGCAGCCCCACACTGCCGAGCGCAGCAGCAAAACGCACGCAGCAGCAAACCGCAGCCTCACGACCAGCAGCAGCAGCAGCAGCAGCAGCAGCAGCAGCAGCAGCAGCACCTGATGGTCACCCTGTTTCCCATCCAGTTTTGGAAGTACAGATGAGCTATTTTGGACACCACTTCTCCGAACTCCTCGTCTGAACAGCAGCAGCAGCAGCAGCAGCAGCAGCAGCAGCTGGCGGTGCATTCGTGTTCGGAAGCCGTGCGCCACGGAAGGCAGCAAAGGGCAAAGCCCCCCAGCAACAGCAGCAGCAACAGCAGCAGCAGCAGCAGCAGCAGCAGCACCTGTGCTGCTCTCGGGGTCCGCGAGGACGCTGCTGCAGTCGAAGAGCAGCAGCCCCTTGCTTTGCATGCTGCTGCTGCTGCTGCCTCTCAAACAAACGAAGTTCAAAACTTCCAAATCATATTCGCGGCCAAATTCCTCTTCGTCGAATTTCATGCTTTCCTTCAAAGCTTCTCTTCCCGGGCCCAAACGCACCAGGTCGTCGGGGTCTCCGTAGAAGTTCAGCTCCACTTCGCGCCCGCTCTGCAGCAGCAGCAGCAGCAGCAGCAGCAGCAGCAGGTGCGCGTCAGCGAGAACTCAGCCGCGACGAGCAGCGCAGCTCGCTACTTCTACCGCCCGCCCGCTGCCCGCAGCAGCAGCAGCTGCTGCTGCGGCAGCCAGCTGCTGCAGCAGCTGCTGCAGCAGCCAGCTGCTGCTGCTGCTGCTGCAGCAGCTGCTGCTGCTGCAGCTGCTGCTGCTGCTGCTGCTGCTGCTGCTGCAGCGCGTGGGGCGGAGCGCACCATTGTGCGGAAGGAGTCGGGGATGCGAGTGAGGTTGCCGGCGAAGGCGGCGAAGAGGTAGGAGGGTTTGGGAAAAGGGTCTTCGAAAACCACAAAATGGCGGTTTGGAGAATCTTGCAGAACTCCAGAAGCCATTTTGTTGCCGTTGCTGAGCAGAAGTGGAAATTTGCGGCGGTCGGCTTCGAGGCGAACCTGCACGCGGCGCGTTCAGGTGTACATACACCCGAAAGTGGAAGGGAAACCTCGGCGATTAGGTGGGTTCCCGCGGTGGGTTTTCTTTGCAAATTTGAAAATAAGAATATTTTAATAAATGCAATGGAATGCGCGAAAAATTAAAACGAGATCGCAAACTTTTTTTTCCGACTTTCCGCACCCGGTAGCGCGTGAGCACGTCGGGGCGGTCCAGCATGTGGGCGATCCTGCGAAAGCCCGCGGGCTCGCACTTAGTCGCGAAAACTCCATTTGCAAAATAAAGTCCTTCGAGTTGGAAGTTTTCTTTCGGATTTATTCGCGCGGCAGTGCTGAGGGTGAAGGCGGCGTTGGGCTGCTGCGGCAGCAGCAGCGCGGGCAGCCGCAGCGCGCCGCTGCGCTCCACCAGGTACCCTGCTGCTGCTGCTGCGTCTTGTGCAATTTCTTTTCCATTTAAAAACACTTTTTCCAACTTCAAGTTCTCTCCGTCCAACACCAAGTCCTCAGGGGCTGTGCCTTCGCGCCGCCGCAGCCGCAGCCGCGACAGCACCTGAACGCCCGCAGCCCGCTCACTCGCTGCTCGTGCAGCAGCAGCAGCAGCAGCAGCAGCGCAGCAGCAGCAGCAGCAGCAGCAGCGCAGCAGCAGCGAGTCGCGCTCCGCACTTCCGTGTTCTCCTCGTCGAGATTCAGCGAAAGCTCGAAGCTGTCCACCGTAAAGGCCGGGGGGCTGTAGTCCTTGCGATCTATCATTGGCGCTGTTTGCTGCTGCTGCTCCTCCTCCGCTCCTGCTGCTGCTGCTGCTGCTGCTGCAGCGGCAGCAGCGGGCTCGCTGGGGGCCTCCGCGGGGCCGTCGCTGCTGGCAGCAGCAGCAGCCCCGCTGACGTGCGGCAGCTGGCCCAGGAGCGACTCGAAGAATGACGGAGACTTTGCTGCAGCAGCAGCAGCAGCAGCAGCAGCAGCAAGTTGCGGGTGGCGCCAAGGGCGAGCAGCTGGGGAGAAAAGTGCAGGGAGCAGCAGAGGCGCTCCTGCTGCTGCTGCTGCTGCTGCTGTTGCTGCTGCTGCTGCTGCTCCATCTTGCAGCGAACTGAAGCAGAACTCGAGGGCGTGGGCCCCTGAGACAGCGAAATTCGGAAAAGCCAGAAAGTGCTGCAGCAGCCACAGAGGAGATCTGCTGCAGCAGCAAAGGAAAGGACTGCTTGCAGGGGATTTAAAGGCACAATTCTGCAAACTTAAGCACTTTTTAAAGAATAAATGGCATTAATTTTCTTTTTTTCAATAAAAGAGCAGCAAAGGAGGCGGCTCACCTGCGTGGCTCTCGGGTGTCTGGACAGCGTGCTCTGGGGGAGGCAGCGAGACCGCCGCGAGGCTCGCGCCTGCGGCAAGTAACCGCACAATCATATTTGTTTGAATTTCTCCGAAGAAATAAACAAAAAACAAACAAAGAAATAAACAAATAAATGCATTTAAATCCGGAAAAGAAGAAAGACAAGGCGGCAAGGGCGGCTGCGGGCGCCGTGGAGGCGCCGCGGCGCCGCCGCGCTGTACGGACTCCGCGCGAGACGGACAGCCGGTTTTTCCCGGCTTTTTTCTTTTTATTTCTTTTTTTGAGTTTTGTTTTATAATTTGAATTCAAAAAGAGAAAAAGAAACCCAAAAGACTTCAATTCCGGGGCCCGCGCCCCACGGCTGCCTGGCCCACGCCTGGCAATCGGGCCTCCCGCCTCAACCCCCTGTGTCCGGACCCCGGCTTTTCTCCCTTTTCTCCTCCATTTGGCGTTTAAATTCATTTTAATTCATTTTAATTCATTTTAATTCATTTTTATTCTTTTAATTGCATTTATTTATTCCATTTTCCGCTTATTTTACTCCCAAACTTCCAAAAACTCGAAACTCCCCCCCCCGGCGGCCCCGCCTGCAAGCTGCTGCCGGCTGCGCTGCGGGTTTCTCTACAGCTTACTTCACTGACCCACTCAAGTATTATTTTGTACAAAGCTTTTGCTGCTGCTGCTGCTGCTGCTGGTGCTGCTGTTGCTGCTGTTGCTGCTGTTGCTGCTGCTGCTGTTGCTGCTGCTGCTGTTGCTGCTGCTGCTGCTGCTGCTGCTTGCAGCCTGGCCTTGGGCGCTGCAGCGCAGCGCCGAAATTGCCGCGGGGGCACACTTTGCTGCCGAACTTTGCAGCAGCAGCAGCAGCTGCTGCAGCTGCAGCAGCTGCAGCAGCAGCAGCAGCAGCAGCAAAAGGGCCCCGCAGCTCCGATATCCAGACACTGGGAGGTCTCCAGGTGTCTAGACACCTCAAAGCGCAGCCCCAGCCACTGTGGGGTGTATAGACACCCCAGGTGTCTGTACACCCCACGGGCGCCGCCCCCAGGTGTCTAGACACCTGGGGATTTGTCCCATTTCTTTTGTTTAAAACATTTTATTTTATTTTCTTTTTTATTTCTTTTTGTCTTTTGAGAGATTTCCCAAACAAACTTTTTTGCCAGGGGCCTCGGCAGCACCAGCTAGCCACAGCTCTCCCCAGCTAGCTAACAGCTAGCTAGCAGCTAGCTGGCAGCTAGCTAGCAGCTAGCTAGCAGCTAGCTGGCAGCTAGCTAGCAGCTTGCTAGCAGCTAGTTGGCAGCTAGCCAGCAGCTAGTTGGCAGCTAGCCAGCAGCTAGCTTGCAGCTAGCTAGCAGCTAGCTGGCAGCTAGCCAGCAGCTAGCTGGCAGTTAGCTGGGCCGCACACTCGCCATACAGCCTTAGGGAGATTCCTAGGGGCACAAGCCTTCAGCTGCTGCAGCAGCAACAGCTGCTGCTGCAGCAGCAGCAGCAGCTGCTGCTGCTACTGTTTGCTGCGGCAGCTACTTGGCGGCGCTGCTGTTTCCAGCTACAGCTTCATGCTGGTGCTGCTGCTGCCGCTTGCTGCTGCATCTTGCTGCTGCTGCTCGCTGCTACAGTCACTGCCGCTGCTGTTGCTGCTGCTGCTTGCTGCTGCTGCTGCTCGCTGCTGCACTCGGCCATCTGCAGCAACGCAGCTAGATTTGGTTCCCTGCCAAACCCTTCTAAACCCCACAAAAAGCAGCAAACCCTAGGCCTAGGGTTTAGGGTTTAGTGACAAGTTCCTTTCGAAAAGCCTCAGCGCCACTCAACTTGTGTGCAGGCCCAGGTGTACGTACACCACAGGGGCCTCCAGCCATGGAGTCACATCGCAACCCCCAAATAGCTAGCTAGCTAGCTCACAGCTAGCTAGCTAGCTAGCTAGCTAGCTAGCTGGTGGCTAGCTAGCTAGCTAGCTGGTGGCTAGCTAGAAGCTAGCTGGGAGCTGCCTGGTAGCTAGCTAACTAGCGAGGCACTTGAGGTACCAGTACTCTAGCCAGCAACGTAAATAGTCAATTGTGCGGCTAGCTGGCTAGCTAGCTAGCCAGTTAGCTAGCTAGCTAGCTAGCTAGCTAGCTATCTAGCCAGTCATCTAGCTAGCTAGCTACCTAGCTAGCTATCTAGCCAGTTAGCTAGCTAGCCAGTTAGCTAGCTAGCTATCTAGCCAGTTAGCTAGCTAGCTAGCTAGCTGGGCAGAGGGTGCAGCAACTGAAGCTGCAGCTAGCTAGCTCGGCAGCTAGCTGCGCCCCGCTGGCTGTGGAGCCCAGCGAAGTGTCTGAGGAACAGAGAGAGAGGCTCCAGCAGCAGCAGCAGCAGCAGCAGCAGCAGCAGCAGCACGGGGGGCCCAGGAGGGGCTAGCGGCGTTTTGCTGCTGCCTTGGAGGCTTTCCCTTTGCGTTTGTTGATGACGGACTTGAGGGACTGCAGCAGCAGCAGCAGCAGCAGCAGCAGAAGCAGCAGCAGCAGCAGCAGAAGCAGCAGCAGAAGCAGCAGCAGCAGCACAGGGGGCGCAACGAAGCAGGGTTGAAGCCCAAGGCAGCGGAAACCCTAATTTAGGGTTTAGGACTGCGGGGGAGGGCCAGGGGCGCAGAGCTCGCGGGAGGCGCTGCCGCGCGGGGCAGCTAGGGTTTAGGGTTTAGGGTTTAGGGTTTAGGGTTTGGGCGGACCCGGAGGGCCTGGGCGCGGTACTTTTCCTTGAGAATGCCTCTGTTGAGTTTGATGTAAGCAAAAGGGTCTAAACCCTTTTTTTTTAAATCTCCAAAAGCCCTTTTGGCTTTAAAGTCTTCGCCGCTGCGCTGCAGGAAGTGGCCCCCACTTTGCTGCTGCCGCAGCTGCCGCAGCGCAGCACGCCGCGCTGCCAGGCAGCTCAGGTTCGCCTTGCTGCTGCTGCTGCTGCTGCTGCTGCTGCTGCTGCGCGCGGCTGCTGCAGCAGCAGCGGCAGTCCTGCCCTGCACGCGCAGCAGCAAAAGCAAACGCCGCAGCAAACGGCACCCCAATTCCCGCAAACCTCTGCTGCTGCTGCTGCTGCTGCTGCTGCGCGCGGCAGCAAAGCGAGGGGTGACGGATCAGCTCCGTTCTAGGGTTTAGGGTTTAGGGTTTAGGGTTTAGGGTTTGGCTTGCTTTGAGGCCCTTGCGCCGGCTCGCAGCTGGCGTTTCCTTCCCTATGGAGAACTTCGGGGCTGCGCACAAACACAAGAGCCAGCCTGCGCAGCAGCAATCAGCAGCAGCAGCAGCAGCAGCAGCAGCAGCAGCAGGATAGCAACAGCAGCAGCACGTCCAACAGCTGCGCGAAAAGAGCAGCAGCAGCCGCGGCAGCAACAGCAGCAGCAGCAGGTCCACGAACTGCGCAGCAACAGCAGCAGCTGCGGCGACAACAGCAGCAGCAGCAGCGGCACGCCCAGCAGCAGCAGCAGCAGCAGCAGCAGCAGCAGCAAACCCTCTGTTTTTGGATCTTCTTCTTCTTCAGAAAGCAGAATCTTTCCCTCGGAATTAACTTTAAGTTTGCTGAACTTTAATTCCCTCTTCTGGCCTCTTGCTGCTGCTGCAGTGCGGCGGTCTTTGTGGGGCTGCTGCGCTGCTAAGATTTGCTGCGCTGCGCTGCTGCTGCAGAAGTCCAGCAGCAAATCCGTGGGATCGTCTCCTCCCGCAGCCTCAAACACACTCAGTCCTGCTGCTGCTGCTGCTGCTGCTGCTGCTGCTGCGCGCCGCTTCCGCTGCAGCACCAGACGCCCCCAAACCCTAAACCCTAAACCCTAAACCCTAAACCCTAAACCCTAAACCCGACAGAGACCTCATGCGCACAGCCCAGCCGCTCGGCTCCCAGCGCTGTACCACCGGCTGCCGCCAGACAAGAGCGTCTAGGGTTTAGGGTTTAGGGTTTAGGGTTTAGGGTTTGTCTCTCACGTGTTCAATTCTTTCTTCTTTTTCTGTTTCCTTTTCTTCTTCTTCTTCTTCTTCTGTCTCGGAATCTGCAAACCCTTTTCGCTCTTCTTTAGAGTCTTCGCTTTCGTCTCCAGACTCGCCCGTGTCCTACAACACCCCAAACCCTAAACCCTAAACCCTAAACCCTAAACCCTAAACCCTTGACGCTTCTCAACGCCTACCCGCTGAAGCTGCCTGCGCGCCGCGAACGCGGGTTCCCCAAGACTGCGGTCTGAGGGTTTGCCGCCGGGGCCTCAAGCTTAGGGTTTAGGATTTAGGGTTTAGGGTTTAGGGTTTAGGGTTTGGACCTTGAGGGTTTGGCGAATGAGGCGGCGAACAGTGCGCCGCCTCTCAGTGCGAAGCAGATGACGCAAAAGAGGCATGTGCTCTTCAGGCATTG